AAAAAATGTTATGAAACAAACTTCGACATTATTTGACGCAATGCATTTAACTCTATTTTACATTATTAAGATAATATAATTTTTGATTACATTAACACTCAAAAAATTAAAGTAAGAACTAGAAAATATATGATGTGTTTCATGCACGACACTGACTAGTTTCTTCCATTCTATTGAGAAAACGACTGTATCAATTACAGATTTGATGTTGAAGAATAGATATGAATTATACTACTAGTGTAATTTCACAATAAATCACATTATTAAATCTTCGCAATCTATTTATTTCACAATCCAGTCTCTTCTTTGGAAAGTGCTTCAATATCTTTATAATTGAACTTTCATTGCTGAGATTTTACTCGACTTTTAATTATTTCCAATAGAAAGAAACATTGAAGATTTGTCATGCATCTTATTAAGACAAGGGGATTAGTTTCGCTATATTGAAAACGGTAACTTGTTTATCACAGGCTGACCACAAATACTTTTACATTTGCAGAAAAAAATCAAATCAGATAGAATCTGAATATATCACAGGTTTCTTCAACAATAAGATAGTGTCAGAAATAAACTGCAACGATTTTGCCAAATATTTTCCATTAGAGGAGTTTTGAATTCTGATCTGAACGTTTTCTAATGAACTTTACGTTCTGTCTTCTTTATTTAAACATAGTTCACAGTCTCGTCAGCAGAGTGCTCCTTGGTTAGTTTGAATTTTAGACTCAAAAAGAGAGTTCGAAGAGTATGTTTCCATAAAAGCATTTATCTATTCGTTTCATGTTCTCTTCTCCCATGCAATCACAGTAAAGTCACGTCAAATAAAATCAACAGATTACGTGAGTGAAAGGTTAACCTAACCTAACTTAAAGACTGAATTTCGACCGCAGGAGGTTAGATGTCAATCTTGCTGAAGTGCTCATCAGCAGGTTGAGGTCCACTTAGGGATGAGTGGGGGGGGAATGGACGAGATTCTAGCTTCTGCACACAGTTTCCGTGTGGGGAAGATTCTATCTCAGGGCACTCAACCTCGAAGGGGCATGGGGGATGCTCTTTTCTTTAGTCTTTGCCCTCAAAAGTTCCCGGAATTCAGCGTTTAGGCTAATGGCCATATTATCCGTTGAGTATTCGGCCTGGCTCAGACCTTGATTTCGCTCAATTTAAAAATACCATATGTTTCGTAACAAAAATCAGCTTAAGCCTGCTCAAAGTTAAGCCCTCCATTTTGGCGGCTCAGAGCGTCCAAGTCAAACTTTTATGAACCTAACCTAGCTTTCTGTCTGCGGTGGGGACTGACAATTAACACTATAACTCACAATCATTCCTACAAATTACAGATATTTGTATATCTACAACATTAAACTTTCCGTCTGATGTTTATTTCTCTGCCTAACGAAAACAATTCTTACTTTACTTTTTACAGCTGGACTGTACACCTTTTTTTACTTCATCTCAACACATGAATAAGTTGTTATTTGTGCATGAAATGGAGAACGTTATATTTCAAATAAATGACAAAATACCGCAGTGGTTTTCCTTTTTAATATAAACGTACATCACTACTAATACATAACGACATTGTGTCATATGACATGGAACATAAAACCCATAGAACTCTAACATGAGTATATGGTGTATGAACGCTCCCAGTGATTTACATTAAGACAACTTCTTTAAAGTTGAAGATAATATGTTTTGATGTAAAAGTCCACATTTTTTATAAGCTAATCCGATTTTCACTAAATTCATTTCTATTTTGTATTTTTTCATGATATTGTATATATCTGAGAACTACCTCCTTCAACACAAAAATCCATAATTGCACAATTTTGACCGGTTATATCTGATTTTGACATATCATTCTCCTTCCCTCCGATATGATTTTTTTGAGTAATTTCAGCAATTTTCAGGAGTTGTCATATGCTTGAGGAGGCTTGGTTTATGTAATTACGCTGTACTTATATCATTAACATTCAAACAGAGTTTTTTTCAGGCGAGCAGAGTAAAGCTTTTCTTTGCATGATATACGGAGAATACGGACATAAGATTAAGTAAGAAAACGTCAATAATGCGTATGTCTACAAACGAGTACTTTTTTTTCAACTAATGTAATTGAATTTAGTTGATTGTAGACAGCTGATAGTTGATTGGTCTTTGGAAAATATGGTACTAGAGTTAATTAATCAAAATGCCTCTGTAAGATCCACATTTGTTGAAATTGTTCGCAAATCGCACAATAACGTTCCTATCGGTAACGCTGTATGTCACATGTCACTAGTCCTAATCCTTAAGAATGAAATTATGCTGTATGAATTGACCGGGCTTAAAATTAGTCAAGACAATAGATATTAGAATGGAAATAGACTGGGACAAGTGCTGGGACGTACAAATCAGCTCTGAGATGCATCAAACTTTCTGATTTTCCAAGTAAAACTGATTTACCCATTTCAAAATTTACCGGTAACAAATTAATCCATATATTAGAAATATATTTCAAAGATAAACCAACCTCAAGCAACACCATGTTTTGAAAACAGACACGAAACGCCGTGAATGGTAACGTGGCTGATATATCGGTAACGTTTTATTTTAGGCGTCACGGTTTTTGTGAATAAGTTGTCAGATTTTGACAAGTAAAGGGAAGTTTCTGAAGTGTGATATCGAATCAATTTAGCGTGTCAAAAAAAGTACCTATTTTGTTTTAATGTAAGCAATGAGGACACGTTACTGGGGATATTACACACTTTCTGTTATTCATGTTAATGGTTTCTTATCATGTATTTCTGTGAACTGTAATATAACCTTTATAGGATGTGGCAGCATTGAAATTTTAGTCTTTCTAATAGGCAAGAAGAGAATCTCATCTATTCACTTGAATCTTGACTATATAAATTTGAATTTTCTTTCTAACTACCTGCGCGCATTTCTATTTTCCACTTTCAAAATGAACACGATTTATTATAACTTATAGTGACTGTAATCTTTATTGGAATAATAAATTGTTTGAGTTGCGAAGGGAATACAAAATCATTCATGTCCATAAACATCCTGAGCATATTCAAATTCAAAGTAAATACACACAGTCCAAGTTGAGCCATGTGCTGACCATATGTGCGACGTCGGAAGAAAATCAGGTAACATCCCATGAAAGGAATGCGATGCCGTACAATTTGTCCTTGCATTTTTCGCATTCTCTAGCATTTCATTAGGCTAGTTTAATGGAGATATAGACTTTATAGTCTCCTTTTCTGAAATATGAACTAGGTAATTGTTTCACGCAAAATTGGTCGACAGAGAAAACAAATAGGATCTGAGGTATCAGCTGACAAAATATTTTAATAATACTTCTTCCGTGTCTGTAATAAATACCGGTTGTGACTTTTTTGGATTTAAACGTTTAAAATTTTCAGTACATGCTATTACAACCTTTTGAAATTACATTCCAGAAAGGTCAAGAATATTCTGGAGAAAATCAAAAAAATTATAATTATAATTTATACTTTTTCTGTCGTACTTAGTATAAGGAATATTTAGTTAGGAATTTTTAGGGTAAAAACCTCAACCAACGGTAATAATAAACGTATTCAACAAAATGTTCTTTCAGTGAAATTGTTGATTCTCTCTGGGGGGATTTACTTGGAAATTCAATTTAACTTGTGAGAAATAGGGATCCTTGAGAATTTCCTACCTATTTTTTTATGATTGCGGATAGATCTTATTTTTGTAAATAATTTAAATTTTTCATTTTCGTTTCTGTTTTTCTCGTATAAAATTTTCATTTCCGTAGATTTCTCCAGAGCTCATCTCTTCTTAGGTGGAAGTCATCTTGAAATTAGACAGGTTGGAGCCTGGCTCCCTTACCCTTTGAATTGATGTTTGCCAGAAGGACAAACGGGTATCTCTTCTTATTTGAAAGATATATCCCCTTTTAACTTTTACTATATAGTATTCCGGAGGATGAAGGTGTGGGTGACATCTAGATTCAATAATTCGAAAGTCAAACTCTGGGAATATAACGACTATTCGAAGTGACCATTGTCACTAGATGGAATTACAAAACTCAAGGAAAAACAGTAAAATGACATTTTATCATATTTGAATCTCTTGAACTCTTCATGTCTGGTATATAGAATATAATAGATTGGATAATTGCTAATATATTCGGTAGTTAATGTATTTAGAGTAAAATCAACTTTGTCGAAGTGCAACTACACATCAATTTGTAGATGAGATGTTTGCTATTACGTAAGTATTTTATGTAATTATGAGTAAAATAATCTCAGTTGAAGTGTTCGCTACAAAAAAAATTGCTTGGAAATGGCAAGAGTTTGCTATTCCTGGATACATTTATCGAGATATATTTATATTAATTTGCTCATGAACATTGTATCCATTAGTCATTGTGAAGTGTTAACGTTTACATTTGACTAAAGAAACCTATAATAAATAATATTCGTTTCTTATAACAAACGTTTTTCCTGAGTTTGACGTTCGAATTATAAAATCTAGATGTCGCCACGAAGTGGTCGCCGTATTAAATGTATGCTTAGTGCTCAACTTTCGGTTATATTGATGTATCTTACATTTATCCCACCACAGCCAGGTAGGGGTATCCCGTGAAGGGCGGCACTGATGTCTAAGGACTTCATGCCGTCATCAATCAGTCGTGAACCCATTGGTCCCTCTCAAGACCAACAATCAGCCAAAAGGGTAGGGGAGCTGGTCTCCAAACCTGGATAAAATCAAGATGGATCTCGTCGTGGTATCTTACATTAGTATTTTATTTTTATCAATAGGTATAGGTAATATAATGCTTTCATAATATTGGAAACTTAAACATAAAATTCAAAAAATTGGTAGAAGTTTTGTTACCTAATAATTAAGTCGAACTTGGAATTATAGAATTTTCAGTATAGATTCTTTAATTGAAGCAAATAATTTCACAATTATCTTGAAAATTTCCATTGATACAAGATCAATACTAAATTCCTTTTCTTCTTTTCCAGAACGTAGACCACAAAATGAAGTACCGTTCAAAGAAGGGGCAACTCCCGTTCGTCGAACTGAATGGCGAAGAAATCGCCGACAGTGCCATCATCATCAAGGAGCTCTCGTCGAAGTTCGGTCACGACTTGGACGCCTGCCTGACCGCGGAGCAAAGGAACATGGCACATGCCACCATCCTCATGATCGAGAACCACCTCGCGTGGGTGGTGATGTGGTGGCGCACCAAGTACCCCGACCAGGTACTCAAGGGGTACAAAGTGAACCTGCAGCACGCACTCGGGACGAGGATACCCAACGGGATACTCAATTTCTTCTTCAAATTCGCATTCGGCAGAAAGGTAATTTTTTTTCGGAATGTACAGGTATATCTCTCTGAATCTCTGAATTTGATAATTTACCACTTGTACGTATAATGTAATCGAGGGTTGCCAAGGATTCTAACCCTTCTGGGATTCGATTCTCAAAGTTTAATTTCTTGGTAAGAGTACGGCTCTGCCGAACTCTAAAAACCTGATTCTGTTCCCAGCGGGGCAGGCACAAAGTATGTGCTCTGCTGTTTCATCATTTTCCAAATAGAGGCGACACAAACTGTCTTCCGACAGCACGAGTCTCCGCATATGATGATTCAAATGACAGTGACCTGTAAGAAGTCTTTTAACAGACCTACTACAATATTCCAGTGTTTTCAGTTTTCAGCTGATTGCCTCTTCCAACCTCCGTTTAGAAAACTTTTTCCAACCGAGTAGATGAACCAAAAAAGTTATCAAACTTGAAACTAATGAAAATCAAAATTATTCTGAGTAAAGACATCAGCACTACCATCAAATAAGTAGCCTGAAATCTCCACACATTTAGGCCCTATTGACCAAATTATACTGAACGGTGAAACTTTGGTTCACCGGAATAAATTATATCGAAATGATTAAATGACTCAGATAGCAAAAGGTTGATACGGAACAGTTGATAAATTTACAATTGCCTGTGGTGGGATCAGTACTGACCTGTCCGGTGAGTTGATGCATCAAACTATAATAAACGGTAAATAAACTATGAAATTTCCTCCAAAATGAACGATATTGAAATGGTTATTGACGCCACTTATATATTAAGGGCCAACATCTAATTGATAATTATCATTTTCACTTTCGGCGCCCCGCGTTGGGCGCCAAACGTATAACGATTTGTTTAGCGATTTGATCAGTGTTAAAAGGTGTAGAATCTTCAGCACTGGCTTCATAATAGTGACAAGAATGCTTTTCAATTGTTTTTTTTGCGATGTTCTATAAAGATCCCCTCTGGGGGATAATACTGTTTTCATAAGTATTCATTGTGACACAAAACATGTGCACCCAGTTTACCTTCCTGTTTTTGTTAAAACTGATCAAGTCCTTTTTCTGCCAAACACATCAGGGTCGTATCTTTATTGAGCATCCATCAAGAGGCATCTGTAGCTATTTAAGAGGCTTTCTTTCGACCTGTTCTGTTTCATTAGCGGAGCCATCGACCACCATCAAGTATATAGTTGTATTTTACTCAAATATTGATGCTTTGGGTATTTCCCCCCAATAGTCTTCATTAAAGGGTCCGTAAATGATATGATATTTGCTGTGGAATTACAAAACGCATACAAATAAACTACATCTTTATTCTTCTGTGTTTTGAAAATCCATCTTCAAATGGAAATGCAAGAATTTTCTTTAGCATGTAACTACTTCTCTCGAGGTGACGGTTTAAGTCTTTTAATATTTATATATTTGGATTCTGCTATGCTTCAATTAATGTAGTACTACAGAAATCGTTGATAATAAATATTTTTGGAGCATGTATTTTTTATGTAGTGAATTCTCTTTTGATCTGCTTTAGTTTTGAAGTTTGGTAATGAAAATGTTTTCTTAGTATTGTTGTATTTGTTTACAATTCTTTTTGAATTATCGACCTCATCAACTTAATCGTGTTATGAATATTGCCACTGTTATTGACCTTTAGTTTCGCCCAATCTATTCCAACGGGTTTGATTTCAGTATGATATTTGAAAATCATTAGCAAAATTTGACATGCTTCTATTTTTTACATGCCGCATAATTTGAAGCACATAATGAATGATTATACCATTTAATGCATCTTTGAATCTAAATAAGAAACCAAATGATCCGTTTCTAATAATGGGACACGGCAAGATTGACCATAACTGGAATAAATAATCTAAATATGTAGTATAGGATGTTTCAATAGTTTGGTCCGTTTCAGTGTCATGTTTTTTGTAGCTTCATATCTCAATGAATATTCATTCTACTGAATCGTGGTTATTATATACTGATCGATAGAGAATGTTGTACTCCAAATACAGCCAAATTTTCTCTACGAATTCAAATTGAATCATAGCGCTGCCCAAATAGCCAAAAACATTAACCAGGCATTTGGCACTTTTTGACGTTGGTCTCCGAATTTCGTTCCGGAGATTTCGGCCTTGAAGATGAGACCCGAAGTGGTCGACCTACAGTAATCCAGGACGATAATTTGAGGGACTCTGGTGGAGACTGACCCATCAAAAATGGTGCGTGGGATGGCTGAAGAACTGGGCGTCAGCCTCCATGCGGTTTTTGATGGTTTAAAACGTATTGGAAAAGGAAAGAAGCTCGAGAAGTGGATGCACCACGATTTGAACAATACTTTTTGCTGTTTTGCGCAACCAAAACGATCGTTTTTGTTCTGATTAGTTATGGTAATAGTAGGGGTAGCCCTTGTTCAGGCAGACAGTGACGACATCACACCAGCCAGGTTGCCTCTCATCTCGCCATACAAGGCAGACAGATCACCTAGTCAACCAGAGTACACTAAATTGTCAAGTGGTGTCCTGTCACCCAGCGGTGAACCAATCGGAGTGTACCAAATTGTCACGTAGCGTCCTCAAATTGTCACGCAACTTGCCACCTAATCAGAGCACACGCTTCTGCATCTCAGAACATCGTGGCGGGAGATTTGAATTTTCTGTGGACATAAATAATTCAAACAGATGATCAGGCGTAGAAGTAGCCCTTATTTAGGCAGACTGTGACTTCATCACACCAGCCAGGTTGCCTTTCAGCTCGCCATACAAGGCAGACACATCACCCAGTCAACTAGAGTACACCAAATTGTCACCTGGTGTTCTGTCACCCAGCGGGGAACCAATCGGAGTGTACCAAATTGTCACGTAGCGTGCTCAAATTGTCACGCAGCTTGCCAGCTAATCAGAGCACACGCTTCGGCATCTCAGAACATCGTGGCGGGAGATTTGAATTTTCTGTGGACATAAATAATTCAAACAGACGATCAGGCGTAGGAGTAGCCCTTATTCAGGCAGACGTCATCGGTTCGTACCTCGAGATCTAGAATTGGTCCCCGAGTTGGGTCCTCGATTTAGTCATTGAATTGCAAGTCGATCCTTTTTGGATCAGATCATCACATATGACGAGAAGTGGATCCTTTATCATGCTTCTATTTTTTATATGCTGCATAATTTGAAGCCCATAATGAATGATTATGCCATTTAATGCATCTTTGAATCTAAATTAGAAACAAAATGATCCGTTTCTAATAATGGGACACGGCAAGATTGAACATAACTGGAATAAATAATCTAAATATGTAGTATAGGATGTTTCAATAGTTTGGTCCGTTTCAGTGTCATGTGTTTTTGTGGCTTCATATCTCAATGAATATTCATTCTACTGAATCGTGGTTATTATATACTGATCGATAGAGAATGTTGTACTCCAAATACAGCCAAATTTTCTCTACGAATTCAAATTGAATCATAGCGCTGCCCAAATAGCCAAAAACATTAACCAGGCATTTGGCACTGTTTGACGTTGGTCTCCGAATTTCTTTCCGGAGATTTTGGCCTCGAAGATGAGCCTGGTGGAGACTGATCCATCAAAAATGGTGCGTGGGATGGCTGAAGAACTGGGCATCAGCCCCCATGCGGTTTTTGATGGTTTAAAACGTATTGGAAACGGAAAGAAGCTCGAAAAGTGGATGCACCAACCACTATTTGAACAATACTTTCTGCGGTTTTGCGCAACCAAAACGATCCTTTTTGTTCTGATTAGTTATCACACTAGTAGGAGTAGCCCTTATTCAGGCAGACAGTGACGTCATCACGCCGGCCAGGTTGCCTCTCAGCTCGCCATACAAGGCAGACAGATCACCCAGTCAACCAGAGTACACCAAATTGTCACGTGGTGTCCTGTCACCCAGCGGTGAACCAATCGGAGTGTACCAAATTGTCACGTAGCGTCCTCAAATTGTCACACAGCTTGCCAGATAATCAGAGCACACGCTTCTGCATTTCAGAACATCGTGGCGGGAGATTTGAATTTTCTGTGGACATAAATAATTCAAACAGACGATCGGGCGTAGAAGTAGCCCTTATTTAGACAGACTGTGACGTCATTACACCAGCCAGGTTGCCTTTCAGCTAGCCATACAAGGCAGACAGATCACCCAGTCAATTAGAGTACACCAAATTGTCACCTGGTGTCCTGTCACCCAGCGGGGAACCAATCGGAGTGTACCAAATTGTCACGTAGCGTCCTCAAATTGTCACGCAGCTTGCCAGCTAATCAGAGCACACTCTTCTGCATCTCATAACATCGTGGCGGGAGATTTGAATTTTCTGTGGACATAAATAATTCAAACAGACGATCAGGCGTAGAAGTAGCCCTTATTTAGGCAGACTGTGATGTCATCACACCAGCCAGGTTGCCTCTCGTCTCGCCATACAAGGCAGACAGATCACCCAGTCAACCAGAGTACACTAAATTGTCAAGTGGTGTCCTGTCACCCAGCAGTGAACCAATCGGAGTGTACCAAATTGTCACGTAGCGTCCTCAAATTGTCACACAGCTTGCCAGATAATCAGAGCACACGCTTCTGCATCTCAGAACATCGTGGCGGGAGATTTGTATTTTCTGTGGACATAAATAATTAAAACAGACGATCAGGCGTAGAAGTAGCCCTTATTCAGGCAGACGTCATCGGTTCGTACCTCAAGATCTAGAGTTGGTCCCCGAGTTGGGTCCTCGATTTAGTCATTGAATTGCAAGTCGATCCTTTTTGGATCAGATCATCACATATGACGAGAAGTGGATCCTTTACGACGTTCGGGACAGTGGTTGGAAACCGAAGAGCCACTCAGGTACTTTTCAAAGGCGGAAATCCACCAAATAAAGATCATAGTTAACTGTATGGTTCACAAATCACCGTCCGAAAACTAAACGAATTAAGTGAAGTTTTGCCTCACCCACCGTACTCCTCAGGCCTCTCGCCAACCGACTACTATCCTTTCTCACCGGTAAAACCTTCGCCAATCGAGACCAGGAAAAAACGGCCTTTGTCAACTTCATCGAATCCATGGCACACAATTTTTATGCCGACGAAATAGATCGAGCGACGTTAAAAGTGCGCTGATTCAAATGTCGCTTATTTCGATTAAATTGAATGAGTATTCATATTATAATTCAAAGTAGACTAATAAATACGGAAAAAACTTTCGAAACACCCTAATCATTTTAGCGTTTTTGGCGAGTGCGTCAAAATTGTGAATAAGCCTGAACTTTTTATTTCATACATTTTTCGTTAATATATATCCTCAGCATGTGAGCATGTTTTTTCCAGTGTTGTGTTATTAGAGGTATTTTAATGTAGTTTTATTGACAATCTAGTGGTTCCAGGGAACGAAAAAGGTCAAGGCGCAAGGTATGGGAGTCCACTCGGCCGAAGAAATCAACGAATTCGGACAGGAAGATCTCAAAGTATTATCCGAAATGCTGGCCGACAAACCATTCTTCTTCGGAGATGAACCCACCAATGTAAGTTCGTTTATACTATTATCACTTGAGAAAACTGAATATTTGACATTGTGTTGATGTCATTTAATATTCGCCATTGTATTAGCCAAAGAATGTTGTTGTCTGAAAGGCATTGGCCAAGTCCTCGAAACCTTTGAGTTTTCTCTTGGTTTTGTTGTCATTTCATGTTTATTCATAATAATGATCAAAATTGGAAAAATATATGATATTAGTGTTGTTTTGGAAAATAGAAGAGAATAATTGACGTCTTATCTCAATGTTATTAAGAGTTGGAATGCAAACAGTGTCGAGAAGTAAATATAGAAAATGGGTAAAATTACGCCGTTATTTATTGACATTTGTGATAGGTACTGCTCCGAAATGAGGCAAACATTGCGTGCATAAATATTATTCCCAGATAACGGATAGGGCCATGCTTATCAAGAATGTGCAATTATTGTCCAATGCAATGTTGATGAAAATATTGCTCATGCTACATATTTTTAAAATAATGAAAACATAGTGCGTTGATATTTTCTGTCTAAATCTTTTATACCAAAATACTTAACGGATGTTACATTCATATATCTTAATCAAATAATTAGTCACTAGCAAAATTGCAAGTTCACTTTTGTAGTCAAGAATGATTTCAACTTTTCAGAATTGAATTAGTCATTGGACATGAGAAAAATATTTGGTAATTTTCATCATTCCGAAATTATGGCCTTCCAAATATCATATTAAATATGAAAATAGGGTTTTTTTATATTCAGTTTCTTAGAGTCTCTCATATGTTCTGAAATTCGTGTTTTAAGATACCGTCTGGTTTGACCAACATATCATTTGTGAGAGCTTCCACATTTCAATTTGTACACTATATTGGATTGTATTTCTTGTGGTGTTTTTGTTTTTTGTTTCGAGAAAAATGCTTTCCAATTGTATTTTCATTTGAAAATACTTTAGTTTGTTAGGTACTGTGTAGCATTCCAAGTTTATCATTTATTTGGGTTTCACTCCTGTATTTTGGGAGGAGAAACTTCTTTAATATTTTTTCTAATAAGGGCTTTAGGAAAATTATTTTTCGCTTAATTCTCAAATAATTAGAGATTTTTGTTATGGAATTCAGAATTGGAATTGGCAATTGCTTTTGATTTCAAATTGCTTATAAAGTTGATTTTACTCTGAAAAAGAGTACATTTTAATTTGCTAGAGACTAACAAGGTCTTACCTTTCAACGTGTGATTCCTAACACGGGTTGGGCGATGTTTTTTCTCAAACACACACCCTGTAAACCCCCGATGGCAGCCATTTTTTTCTGTACTGCCGCACTGAATGCCTCACCGCCATGTTTTTTTCTTCAATCCAATTTTTCCTTCATTATTATTCTTGTATCATTATTTTAACAATTCAACCGCGTTGTTATCTCTCAACTGAATCTCTCTGATATTCATTCTATCCTTCTATGCATCGGTTACGTCGCACACGTCTCTGTCCCACTCACTAACAATGAGAACAATTTAAATTTCCCGCTTTGCGCGCGATAGCTTCTGATTGATCGACTGGGTAATGATCAATCGATCAATCAGAAGCTACCGCTACCGCACGCACAGCGGGAAATTCAAATTGATCTCACCGTTAGTGAGTGGGAAACAGACGTGTTCGACGTAACCGATGCATAGAAGGATAGAATGAATATCAGAGAGATTCAGTTGAGAGATAACAACGCGGTTGATTTATAAACATAATGATATAAAAATAATAATGAATGAAAAATCGGATTAAACGAATATTCTCTTATCCGGCTTCGTCCGACTATAATGACTTTCCTCAACTGAAAAATGCCTGAAAGGTCAATTTTTTTTCAAGATTCAGAGACATCGCAGGTTTACTGTAATAAATGTATGTTATACGTAACGGGCTTTCTATTAGACACTTCCTATCTTTAAATTTAAATAAAGCAAAGTGTCTGTGTGTGTGAGAGATATCTTCGAAACTTTTTATTCGTTTGAACGATTTATTGATGCCATTATATGTGGAATATAACAATCTTCAAATGTTCGCCACGCTTTCTCTGGATGGGGCGCATCCCAAACATCCAATTTTCCATGACTCCATGACAAACAGTGACTTTTTCACCACATTGCGAATAGTCCTATCGGTCGGATGATTATGGCGACCATAAAATGGGCGAAGTACGCGGTACGTTGTCCGAACAAAATACCCATTTTGATAAAACAATTTAATGATTTGCACTTGTTGTTAAATGTCTACTTCGAAGGTGACGAAATCGAAATTGATGAGTGAATAAATATTTTTTTGAGAAAAATGAAAATTCATCTTATTTTTTGGACAGACCTCGTAGAGTAGAAAAAAATGATAGTTAAAAAATTAATTTTTCTGTCCTTCCTGAAGGGAATGAAAGAGAAAAATAGTTTGAGAAGTTAGAAACAATTCAAACACCTTATATTTTACATAAATACCCATTTTCAGCGATATTTTTGTTTTACAGGCCGATGAAAAAGAAAAGGACAAAGCAAATGAAAAAATTACAGAAGAAAACAAAGACAAGGAAGGAAAATAAAGTGTAATTCTCTTAGTACCATCGTCGAGGCAAAGTATCTCTCTGATTTTCTTTCTTTTACTCTTCAAATACCTTTTTTATAACTTAAACTATGACCTACGTGCAACAATCTAGTTTGTAAGGTTCTTATCCATTCACCTTTTCATTTATTTAACAGGCCGGGAAGAATTCGAGTTCATGGATGGAATTTTCAAAATTGAAAATATCGGATCTGAGTGGAGTTTCAAATTCATTTAACCCACATATTCATATCTGAAAGACTGTATTGTGTTCTCTTTTAAAATGTTCCATATCCTCCGATAATCATTTCTTGGAGCTCATTATCAAAAGGTGCAATTTCGCCCTGGATCCTCACACAAACATATGCTCGAATTTTGAGTAGCCCTGTATATTTGAAATACTCTTGTCATGACAAATGAACGTAGCTTTTTTGTTTTAATCAAGTATAGAGGACATTTTTATTCATCATAAATATATTCATTACTAGTTAGGGTTGATTGTTTGTATAAATAATTTTAGCTAGATTTTTTTATCGTAAGCAATTATAGTACGTATCTGAAACTTAGGCGGGAGGAGATCCCTTCTGAGAACAACAACAGCGAATCCGTCTTTCAACCGCCTTTGTTCATTCATGTTAGTACAGTCTCGATGTATGAAGTATAATATACAGCCGTTAGAAGTACATTGTATTCATTCCATATTTCAATACTGCATCACAAAATTTTTCATGATTTTCTATCGGTATCTAGATTTTTGTATTTTTTTATTGGACTATTAATTTTAAGGTTTCTGCTCTCTTGTGGACCAGATTGGAAATTTTCGGAGAGCCATCTTCGAAGCTCAATAGATAGAAATTGTTTTAAAATTTTTATTTAAAATTGATTGTACTATTGAATTACTGCAACTGTGTTGTATGCTATTTGATTAAAGTCATACCTATTTTAAATTGTTCGTTTTTTTGTACATACCTTTATTTCTGTTATCAGAATTCAGAATCAATAAATGGAATCATAGTATCAAGAAATCCTGATTACATAAAACCAGTGCCCAAAATATTCCCCTTTGTAATTCAATTAAGACTGTTTCGTTTTTTATCCGCCATGGACGCATTAATAGTACTTGGATGGGTAACGAATGCAAAGTTTGGACTCTTGTCTTCAATGAAAACAATCCATTCAACAAACACTTAAGTACGTTGAATAATCACTTGTTTGAAAAATTCCCCAGACTTTCAAACCATTCCTGATAGCTAAATAGACACATTTATTTCAACAGAGTATTTTAAAATCATTCACAGGAGTGGCAGAAATTTTTGTCTGAGAAATACGTCAAAAGGAAAATTGTAAAAATATCAAATGTGTACATATAAATCTAAAAATGAAACATTCAAAATGAATAGCTTCAAGTTTCAAACACGATTACAAACATTTTAAAATGTGCGTCATATTGCTCATGATTACTGCAAGTAGAGATAATTTCTATAAATACATAGCACAATTTTGAATAAAATTTAGTAAGAATTTTCTTACAGATTTCAGAAATCTGTTAGTAACGACAATACCTTTTATGTTTTTCGGAAGATTATTATAAAATTTTATTCCAGTATAGATAGTGCTACGTTAATATAGGGATATTGCATGGATGGGGTATGAGAAGTTTTTTTTTCGTCTTGTATGATAAATATGCGTTTTGTGATGTATGTCAAAATGGCCTGGACGATTGATGATAAATTTTATTGATTCGCAGATATAGATTGCTGACACAGTAAGTAGTTTGTTGATCTTAAAGGCTCCTCTGCAGGAATCTGTTGTATTCATATTGAAGATTATTCTGATAATTTTTTTTTGACAGGAAAATATTAAATCCATGACATGAGCCCCAGATGATTATCCCTAGTCTCATAACAGAGTGAAAATTCGCATAATATACTGTAACTGGTGCTTCAAGATCAACATTTTTTAGAACTCTCATGACGTATGTTACCGAGGATAGTTTATGGCAAAGGTTGTCTATCTGACTAGTCCAACTTGAAGCGTCATCAATGTATATGCCTAGAAACTTCACTGAAGTATTACAAATGATTTTTTGATTGTGCATAATTATGTTTTGTCGTGTTTCTATACTGTTATTGATTTTGAACATGATACAATTTGTTTTTCCATCGTTCAGAACTAACTTATTCTCTAAAAAATAATCTTTGAATTGTTCTATTATTTTGTTGAAAGAAATATGGTGTCATTGATGGTTCTCACATTATGAAAATAATTAAGGAATTGAACCCAAAGAAAGGTTCAGTATTGATTGTGGAAATTTGCAAAACAGAAATTACTCCATTTCTGAAATTTTTAATTTGGAAATCGCCATGAAATGAAAATCACACAAGTAACACTTATTTACAAAAACGGTAGATAGATAGATAGATATGTTTATTTACTTCAGAGAGTATTTGTAGTCGTACATGAAAACAGTGGCAGAATACATTGTCTGTAAAAGTACGTCACAAAATCTTAAATCTAAATACATTTCAAGAATATGGAATTTCGTTGTCTACAAAATCTTAAACATTTCAGGAATAAGGACTGTATAAGTTAAAAATCAGCAAAAGGAACTAAAAAAAATTAATATATAGAAGTAGATGCTAAAAAATTAAAATACATAACACTTTTTTAGATACATCACACACCTACTAAAATTTTGAAGTGAAACTTTTGCATCTTTACAATATCCAATATGAATAATTATAGACCTGTATCAGTACTCCCTATTTTTTCAAAAATATTCGAAAAATTCAAAAATTTTAGATTGTGTGAATACTTGGAAAACACATTTCATTTGAACATCAATATGGATTTCGTTAATCCGGAACTTCAGAGAGAGCTCGTTCATTTTTTAGAAAAGGTAAGTTTACACAAATCTTCAAGGAAGATTAATTAATTGACAAGTGTCAATTAACACTAGTCAATGTGTATGCAGCCTCTTGTTAACAAACATCATTGTCAAATGAATCAAGTCCGATGACTATCAGGGAGAAATACAAACACATAATAAGAAAATAAATATTTCGATTTGTAATTCGAAATACCTCCCCCAACGTTTCCACACACTATGATCGGGAACATTCCTGCAGGAAAACTACAATTTTCCTAGCTTATGCCACGACAGGTATTCGATTAAATCTTTGTATGATATTCCTCATAGAAGAAATTCTCGCAGATGATCTGTTGTAACTAGTAAGGTGATAATAGCTCCATTTCGTGAACGAAGTGGAAATAAGCCAAACAGCTTGCTGTCTTGGTTAGATCTGTCCAATACTAACGGGGAGTAATACCCCCGAAAATTTATTTCAGCGAGGATATAATCTAATGTCAGCCGTGGTATTAGCCAGGGAATAGAAATTTTTCGACAGGTAACTATTGATGTTCTTAGATCGTCAAAGGCTAATTGTTAGGGTTAATATCATTTCAAATTGTGTCTTCTTTACGTAAAAAGAAACATAATATGTCAAAGAATTCATTATTACACTCACTCTTATAGTACAAGAAAAAAGTGATCTCTGCCCTCCGTTATTCAAACTTACAAAAACAGAACTCCTATAGAATCTGGGCGTAAAATTGTATAATTCAAACAATTCAAAGATGACAATATGTTTTTTGTATTATTCAAAACCAAGATCGGTAAATATTTAATACGGCACTGTTTTTACTCCGTAGATGATTATCTGGATCATGTAGTTACATGTGCATGTGAGTAGGGATTACTATCCTGTTCTTTGGTTTTAACATGTTCATAATTCTTGTCTTTAATTATAATATGTACTTTGTTACTTGTACGTTCGTCATGTGATCCATATCAGCATCTGGACGAATGTATACATTTTTATCGTTTACATGAAATGAGTATTTCTAGTATAATAATAATGGACTAAAATACAAATTATATGAATACAAAATATATATAGAATGTAGAGAAAAGAATGTCAGTCAAAAGACAGAGTTCAAGTCTAATTGGCAGAAGAGACTTGTTCTTCCACTCAACCACAAAACGTGCATCTCAAGTACATGGACAAAAGGACGTTTAATAATGTGAGATACTGATGTAGTTATTTGAAACAGTATTTTAAAAAAAGATGCTTCACTTCGTTTCTAATGCAAGGAATTTGTTCAAAATTTCATTCTTAACGTGTTTCTTGAATAAAACCAAAGGTGGAATCCTATTCATTAGCCAAATTACATAATAAGAAAATTAACTTTTGAATACAGATTTTTTGTGACTTAGCGTTGATTTTTATCGGATATTTAGGTTATGTACGTCCGTTCTGAATCTTATTTTATGGTACAAATAAGCAGCAAGTGTGAAGTGCTCTCCTCTCATTCATGTTCATCCAACCCAGAGATTTCAAGGCATTTGTTACGTGGTATCTCCTATGTAAGCCACATATGAGACGAACACAGGTGTTCTGTTATCTTTGCAATCTAGTTTTATCAAATTTCAATAGGGGAGGACCAAAAACCACATCGACATAGTTTGCGTGAGATAACACAAGTGACTGACAAAGTTGTTTTTAATAGCTTATTTAGAATGTTTTTATTTGAGTATATCAATCTCAAGCCATTATATGCTCTTTTTAGAATCAAAGACACGTGGGAAAAGTTTCTATATCTACCTTTGGAACAGGCAAAACTTTTCCATATTGTTGAAATGAATTAATCCTTCTGATAATTTTTTTCAATATCAACTGTATAGGCTATTATGGTCATCAGCATCAATACTTAAAAAGATTTCACATTCGAAGCTCCAATTAGTTCCGAAAAAAACCTTTTCTAAAATTTGACAAATTTATTGTAATCTCAACAGATATTTACTCATATGATAAAAAACCCTACTGAAAAGTGACTATCAACAAAGTTCTTTCTCAACTATTGTGAACTCATCTAGAAGGTAATCTATTACGTTAGTTTTCATGAAGAAAAGAGAATTGAAACTTTCTGTTTTTTACCACTTTTATTTGTAAGTAAAGTTACTGCAGTTTCGTTCTATAAGGACATTTTCAAACTCAAACACTAAACTAACAATGATTTATTACATTAGCCCTTATATGTCACCCCTATAGGTAATAATACAGGTAATTGGCTTGATTGAGTACCTGAATTTACAATTTACAATGCGGATGTGCCAATTTGGACAACCGGTGAGTGACCTAAATCGATTTGATCATTTAACAGGTTGCACCTGCAATGTTTATGCTTGTGAATTTCCAAGGATTCTAAATAATTGCATAGTGCAAAATTTCCGTATCGTTTAGATTCGGGAACTTGTGGTTGCATGCCATGGAACGGTTTGAAAACGTCGAATCATTTTTTTCTAGTCTGAAGCATACCGTTTTTGTAAATTTCGACCACATTGTCCACATAAACACTATTACACTCCGGGCACTTAAGCTTATTACTCCAGATTTCTCCAACTTGCCCTCTTTATCTTTGGCATTGAAAAGGAAATCAGATAACCTGGCATGTGGTATATATGCCACTTCCACATTGTTTTTTCTGAAGAAACCCGCAATTATCTCTGTTCTTTTACCAAAATATGTTAAGAGTTACCCATTTTTTAATTTCTGGTTGTTTGACCTGAGGGTATATTATTCTGTAAGTGAATTTAGGGCTTTGTTTGCTGACTAACTTCTGGATAGTATCTGCTTTGAAACCATTATTATGACCTATCTGTGTAATTATACCAATTTCCCATCCTAGATTGTTAGCAGACAAAGGTAGTGAGAATGATCTGTGCAACATTGAATTGTAGGCTGCTAATTTATGACTGTATGTATGGAAATAATCGCTTGGGATGGTAATGTCTGTATAGCTAGGTTTTCTGAAAACATTGAACTCAAATTTATATAAGGGCTAATGTAATAAATCATTGTTAGTTTAATGTATACATTTGAAAATGTCCATACAGGAATGCACTTCAGTAACGTTTTGGCGATTTAGACTAACAAAATGGAAACTTTTTTCAATTTCAATGCTATTGAAACTTTTTTTAATTTTAATGTTATTATTGAGAAGGAATGATGTTTCGGAAGCATTTGCCTTCATTGAAATTAAGAGATTTCAACAGCTGTTGAGCTGTTGATAAAAAAGTTGTTGGGAAGTCAACAGCCAACTTGAATCATATTTCACAGATGCTGACCGATTTTCCTGATCAACAAACATTGAACAGAGCGAGCGATCAAGGAGGAAGTGATTCGATCTCTCAGGAAAAGATACAGAACAGCTAATTAGGAATTAGGTATACCCTTTTATTACATTTAACTCAAAAATGGCAGTTTATTGTGGAAATACTTGAATATAAATATATCAAACCTACATATTCTCTACCAAAACTGAAGCACTATTTCATAATGCACACTATCCAAAAATGCATCATCAGGGGATGATGGAATGCCGAAGTTTTAGTTCTGGATGTAGTTGAAGTGTTTTCATTATATTTATTTTACCCCAAAGTTCTACCTATCAAATGTGCATGGTATGATAGTAATATGACTTCACTCAATTTAGTATATAATTTTCATAATTAAATTTAGTACACAATGAAAGTCCTCCCAATTTCAGTCTCCAATTAGTCAATTCAGTAATTATTTATCAGAAGATGAAATTGACCTTTCCATCACCTGATGATGCTGACTTGGTTAGCGAAATGCGCGTCTAGTATTGGAAAATCGTTCTAGATTCATTTTATTCCAGAGGTTCCATATTTACCTATCAAAGTAATCATTTGTCAGATAGAGTTATCTTTTGATTTGCAGTCATACACATTAATAATGATGACCACTGTTTTTATCTTGTTTATTGATTTTCGTTTTCAATGATAATTTTTCTTATTTTGCACCTAAAACTCTCTTCACTATGGAAAGAACTCCTTTCACAAAAATGAGATTCAATATGTCCAAGTCATTTTCTTCTAATAATTCTCTAGTGGTTACCGCTCTCTGTTTGTTTCTTGCCTATCAGTTTCTCCATCCGAAGGTTTGATGCTTTCTTTCATCTCTACTTCGAACTCACCTTTGTCAGTTTTCATATGTATGTACCTGTTACAAAAATTCATTACTAGAGAAGGTGTAATCGCTATGTTGGATTATCTGAATAAAAATAATAAAAAGGTTCTTCATTAGAGCGGAATAAGTTATATTGAAATTTTTTAGACCAAAAATTGAAAAACAAATAAAGGTTTCACCCTAAGGATTGTTCAAAATGTAACAAAAAGTTGAGAAACTATACTAAAACCAATAATGATTGAGAGTAGAAGTAAGCCCAGTTGACAGCAAATCGGGGGCGTGCTTATTAATTTTTGAGAGGGTTAAGAATGAAAGAAAAATTCTTAGTACAATTAGTTAAAATATTCATACACATTTTTTATTTATTTCATTAAAACTTTGCAATATCGTAATTTACCTAATCGTTGTAGTCATTAGGTGGGCCTTATGAAAACGGAGTAATAATCGTGGTAATTATAGTAGGTACCAAATAAATTAACAATATTAATAAAAAACACAATATA